AGCTCATACAGGGACACAGCATTGACACAGACCTGCCTGTGCATTTATGACCACATTGTGACCAAAAGTACAATACTTAGTAGAAATCCTTGTTACTTTCAAACCCATCTTAAGCCAAATATCAAGTAAATTTTAATTCTTTGTGAAGTATTTATCCAGTTAGTTTCCTATTGCCAATCACTTTTGTAATATAAAATATAATGAGTAACATTTTCCTTGCCCTTAATTCCGTGAGGTCCAGTGATGATGCATCAAACAAATGTCATATTTGGCAACCAAATCAATCACTTTACTTAATTGTAAGAAATCCAACATCTGCTTTTACCTTAAAGGTCTAAAAACCCTTTCTTTCATGTAGCCTACATTCTCATGAGAAGTAGAATATTGTCTGTTTCCCCATATAAAGTACATCATTTGTCATGACGAACACTATACAAACATAAACTTGTGTGACAACATAGAGGGCTACTAAGTGGGAGATGCTATTTTTTTATATGATTCTATCTGGGATCGATGCAGATGTTATATAAGGTAATGATAGATCTGCCTAAAGAAGTCTGCTGTGCAAAGTCTTGGAGAAAGCATCTCTAAGTGGAAAGATGCCAAGGTGCAGGCAAGCCTGGGGAATTGGAGGAACAGCAGGAGGGCTGTGTGTCCCAACGGGAAGGAGCAAGGAAAAGAGTTGTATGCTAAGTGCTCTTCAACAAATTGCCCAAAAAGTGATTTGGGGAATTTATGTGTTTAGAACTGACTGGTCAAAAAAGGGAAGTCAGTGAAGTAGAAGGGCCACAGCTTTGTAAGGACATTGGGCTGTTTCCTTCTGAGTCAAGGGAAAGTGGCCCGAACCAGGTGCCTGAAAACCCTGGATCTCCTCCTGTGACTCCTCCCATCAGTGTGTGACCGCATTTGCATCATTTCCCTTGCATTCACAGACCCTTTGCTATCAAACTCCAGAATATGTCTCCCTTCGAAACACCATCATTTACTTTACAAGTACTGCAAATATAAAATTCCCCATCTCTCTCCTATTAGTTACACCAAAGTCTCTCTTCTAAGAGTCATCATTTTATAACTTGTAATTTTCAGATTCTTTTCTCTAGAATATCCTTAACTTCCCCAAAATTACTTTTGAAATGTAGGCAAAAAACCAAACAACTTATTTGAGATAAGTAATCAGCACACCCTAAGATTTTTTTAAGATAGAAAGAAAATATAAAGTAATAAAAACGTACTAGATTTAATATTGGCTACAAATTTACTAATGTATTCAATTACTAATGCAAGTTCATTTATAATAATTGATAAAAAAAATCTTTTAATAATGAAGTTATCAGAAACAAGCAACAACACAAAATCTCTTTAGATTCCACAACTAAACATCTTTGCCATAATATTCTTCTATTCGCAACGCTAGGCATTTCCCCTGAAGGCATTTTCAAAGAGAGATGCTTGGTTTCTTATACTCAGCTACTTTTGAGTCAAAGGCCCTGAGCAGCGCTTGTGTAGAGCTCTTTGAGTGCAGGCTGCCGCAAAGCCTTTTTGACCATGGACTCTCCTGCCAGTCCATCGGCTTTGACCCTTTGGTGAAAGAGCACTTCCCAGAATGACTTCAAGCTGAGCATTTTTCTCCCAGCAGGAGCAACAGAGATCACTGACCCGTGCTTTGTTGCTAAACCAACATGCTTCTCAATGAACACTCTTTCTTACCCTCGTCACCTCTGTTCCCTAAGTCCAAAGTCTCTCCGAGTGCTGTACACAGAGGGAAGGCCATGAAGTGTGCTGAGAGCACACAATGTCAGCACTCGCTGACCAGTGCCAGCACAGTCCGCTTTTCCTTACCCTCAACGCTGGCTTCAGAGAAAACAGCATGAGCCTCACTACAGAATTCCTCCCACTAACCTTTGATTTCAATTTGCATATAAAGCTAAGGTTACATGGCTAAGGGTCTTTTATTAAGTTCCCTTAAAAAGCCCCCCTGGTAACTGGCTTCTTAACAAACTGGTTCTGACACTAGAAAGGAGTCCTGTCACTTCCAAAAAGAACAGTGTTTTATCTGGGACTCCCTGGCAAGAGTCCTGTGAGCATGAGGAGTAGAGTGACTAAGATGAATGCAGGAAATCTGCTTAAATGAAAAGGAGTAAAGCCTTTGTGTGGGAAATAAATTTGAAAAGGCACCTGAATAGATTCTCCACAGTCAACAAAGGGTCTGCAAAGCAAGGAGAGAGGAAGTTACCACTTGATAAGTTAGGCCCACGGAGAGCAGGTGTTCCCTGTGGTTGGAAACACTGGCCTGATAAGGAACTGTGATCATTAGTGCCTGCGCAGTGCAGGATGTCTCCCAGTGGGTGGGGTGCAGCACTGGCCTCAAGCAGTATATTCAAGGCCCAGAAACTAGAATGAACATAATTTATCATCCAAATTGGATACTTTTGACAGTAAAGGGGGGTATAATCCAAATTTCTCCTAAGGAAACCAAGGCATATACTCACCTTCCTTCACTGTATGTTAAACTCACTTAGCAAATACTAATTTTATGAAAACTCGATTATAATCCAATAATCTTTGGACAAATTGTTACTACTATAACTTAAATAAAAGAACAAGTAAAATGGTTGAATAAAGTTGATAAATTTCAACATCACATAGACCTCAAAAATGGAATTTTAAAAGGTAGGTTAATCAAAGGGTAGCCTAAAATTTAATTTTACCTGTTGATTGAATGATGCAAAATACCAAGGAGAATATAAAAAGTTCTTTACAGCCTTTGGAGAAAGGTGAGTAACTAAAGGACTCTATTTGCAGAGTAGCAGGGTATACATATGATATTTGTAAAGAAAGAAGCACAGTTAGTTTGACACATAAAAGAAGGATTTAAAAATTAGAGCACATAGGAGAATAGAAGCCCTCAGGGCAGACAGGAGGATGGAGAAAGGAGCCTGGAGCCCCAGACTGGGACTAGGAAGAAAACAAGGAAGCTGGAAGAAAAGACAATTTTAATATTCAAGTAATTTGGACAATTGGATTTAAAGGGAAAGACGAATAAAGGGCGATTGAATCCTTGGAAAACCCAGTCAGGACTTTGGTAAAAAGATGAAGCAGAGTATTTAAGACAAGCATAAAGGCACACAGTAAATGTTTTTGGTTTTGCAAGCCACGCAGTCTCTTGGCCTTACTCCACCTTGCCTGACAACTGTAGCACAGAAAGCCATATAAATGTGAGTGTGGCTGTATTCCTAAAATTAGAATTTCATATAATTTAATTTTTCAAAAAATATTACTCCTCTTTCAAATTTATTTTAACCATTTAAAAATATTAAAACTATTCTTCACCCATATGCCATACAAAACAGATGGTGGACCATATTTGGCCCACGGGTCATAAATAGGTCTGACCTAAGATAATGCATAATGATTCACAAATATGAGAAATACAAATCAACAAAAGAGGAAACCATACATTAGAAATATTTGGCAAGCAGCCAGTTGTAAAGTAGAAAGCTGTTAGTTTTTTTCATATCCTAAATGTCAGCATTTTCAGTAGTCCATGCACACCTTTCTAATTAGTCCGAATCAATACAGTTTAGTAGGACTTTACTTAGTTAAACTGTTTTCTAAGATATTGGCTGCTGGATAAACATTATTTTTTAAAAATCCACTTCATCAACATAATGTACATGCAACTTTAGGTGTAAAGTTTCATGAGTTTTGATAAATGTGTATACCCACGTGACCACCTTGGTTTAGATTCCATTGCATTGAAGCATGGACATTCTCATTTGGTTTTTCATCTTAGGGAAGAATAGTTTATCCTTCATTTTTAAGCACAATGATGGCTGAAAATAATAATTTAATAGTATTCGTTCATTTCCCCCTATAGTGTTTTCCGATGGCCTTAGGCGACCCCTGTGAAAGGGTTGTTCGACCCCCTAATGGGGTCGCGACCCACAGGTTGAGAACCGCTGCTCTAACTGAAGCACCTGCCACTCTGTCAGAAGGTTGTGTATTTTGGCCACAAGGGCTTGATTGGCTGAGGTGGGAGGCTCTGGTGACACCTCTAAAGAAAGGTGATCGTCCTCCAGTAAATAAGTAGGTGGATAAATTGAATTTTTGAGATAATTCTGAGGCACGGTCTGTAGTACCCCCCATCCAAGTTCCCCAGCACTAACAACCCCCAGTTGCCCATAGTGACTCAGAAAGACACCTATTGCTTTCCTCCCTTTCCAGCCTCACTTTCCCTGTCTCACTTGTTCCTAAATAAACGAATGGTGAACACAAATCCTTACCACAGTGTCTGCTTCCAGATAAACCTACCCTAAGATAATGTATCTCTATATCATTATCTGTACATTTTCCAAAGAACTTCCACTGTTTTTTTAAATAACATGTAGAAAATAATCCACATTCACATTTAAGTAAAAACAAATAGTCCTGGTCTCTGTATATGCACTGTGCTCACAACCAATGGCTCATCCTTGGGAAGCAAACATACCCTTGGGAAGATGGCACATATTTCCCCAAAGAGACAACTCCCAGCATCAAGTGAGATTATAGAAGATTGTGATTCTCTGATCTAGTATGAATTGGATTGGCCATAGAAATAACTTCTTGTGAACACATTTTCCTATCAATGTCACTAGAGTGATCAGAAAGATTCTTTCCTTTCTGCTCAAGACAAGAAAGCAAATTACTATATGTATTTTTCTTTGGCTCCTGATCATGCTATGTGACAGTTCAACAAATTCTGCATACAACGAATCCCATCATTTCCGCACACAGGGCCGTTAAATGTGCTCATTTGCATAAGTTATAACCAAACACACAGTAAAAGTATTGCTTGTGACAGTAGATCTGACTTTGGGGATGCATATGAATTTCTCAATTTTTAATGGATTTTGCATTGACATTATGGCATGGAAATAAAACATTTCTTGTAAGCATTCCAGGCATTCCTGCTGGTAACGAATGTTGCGATAATTCAATGAAAGGTAAAGCAAACTTACCCGAATCATCATGACTGAACATCTGATATCATGAATTGTATCATAGATCTTCTTTGAGATGTCCACAAATTGATTGTCGTCAAACACATGCAAAGAGTTCTTATTTAGGGCTTCCAAGGCGACATTCACTTGTGTCACAAACTCAGGAATTGCTGTAATTGATAAGAAAGAGAAGATTATCTTGTTTATATTTTCTGATTTCTAAACCTTCCAAGAAATGGAGAATCATGTTTTTAAATAAATATTTGATTAATATAATTGTAAGTATTTTTTTTAATGTAGAGAGACAAAACATTTTGAAATTTCCAAAAAGTTAAAAGAATCAATGAGAAAAGAAACAATTTTATGGAAATATTTTTAAAGATTATCTTTTTTCCTTTATATCATTTTTGGTTTTAGCCAAGCCTGGAACCATGTTATCATTTCTCATCCTATCCAATAAGAGCCCCAAGAAAACCCAAAAAGAATTTATATAAATAACAGCTGAAATTGTAAACATGAAGATATTTAATGAAATAATTTGAGTTGCTAAATAGAAGAAAACTTCATTATATATACTAACTATGTATCATAGGAAAAATAGAACTACTGTAAACTTTCTTTGGTAAGATTTTTTTCCCTATCAACAAATCAAAAAAATCACTGCTTTTATATGCATTATGTTTCTAGCTAAAATAGCATAACATTGAATGAGTGTAGGAATGCATCTATCAGTAAGGCCAATCCAGACGGTCTTTTTGATTAAGATTTAAAAATTATCTTCATTTAAAACATTCATTAACTCTACACTATATTTCAGTCACTTTTCTAATTGTCCACTGTGATTGATTCTTAAAAAACAACCCAAGTATTAATCTGTGGTTAATAGCTGAATGACGAAGACACAGAGAACTCAATAATCCTGCCCAAGGTCATTCTGCTGACACATAACATAAGAGAGATTGAACTCAGACTGCCAGAATGGAGAGTCTACACTAAAGCACTGTACTGTATTATATTGTGTTTAAGTAATCTCTGTGCCATGTGAAGATGGAGGGGAAAAAAACAGATAAAAGCAATGATTCTAAACCTGAAAGATAGAAATCCTTTATCTGTAAATGTTGGTGATATACATGGAAACTCATATTATTTAGTTCCCCCTATTTTTTCACCTACTAAAATGTATCAGCTATACCCTACTTCTTAGCCAACTGTCCATTGAAAAATTCTATCTGAATTTTCCATAACACCCCCAGTTCTTTTTACCTAAACACATTTTTTTACCTGAAAAACACACACACACACACACTATTTTTCTACTATTTTCTATCTTTTATTATTATTATTAATATTATTATTATTATTATTTCAGAGAGGAAGGGAGAGGGAGAGAGAGATAGAAACATCAATGATGAGAGAGAATCATCAATTGGCTGCCTCCTGCACCCCCTCCAGGAGATAAAGGCAGTAACCCTGGCATGTGCCCTTGACTGGAATCAAACTAGGGACCCTTTAGTCTGCAGGCCAACACTCTGTCCACTGAGCAAAACCCGCTAGGGCTACTATTTTCTATCTTGGTGTCAAGTCATCTCTGGAAAAAAAATCAAGATGTCTTCTTTGACCTCCCATTCATCTTCACCCTCTCTATTTCCAAAGTCCACTAAGTGCAATACCCTCTACAATATAAATATATTTAAATCCATTGCCAATTCTAGACAACCGCCTCTAGCCACTATTATGTTCTGCTTCAGTTCTCACCATAGCCCTCCTGCCTAAGTTCTCATCCATTAGACTCATTTTAAATATAACCTTATTGACAAAACCTACTTGTCATTAGCACAACAGTATCTGCCACAAATAGATGCTTGATGAATTGTTTTATGAATGAGTCATGTCACAACACTGTTTAAAATTTTCTCAATGACCTTTTTCCTTATTGTATCCCAGTGCCTATCCTGGCATATAGTAGGTAAGTAATTGTATGGAGTAATTTAATGAATAAATGAATGAATGAATATAATCCTATATAATAAAAGGCAAATATGCAAACTGACCGAATGGTGAAATGACCACTATGATGTGCACTGACCACCAGGGGGCAGATGCTCAATGCAGGAGCTGCCCCCTGGTGCTCAGTGCACTCCCACAGGCTGGTGAGCACAGTGGTGGCGGCAGGAGCCTCTCCTGCCTCCATAGCAGCACTAAGGATGTCTGACTGCCAGCTTAGGCCCGTGGGCCTCAGACAGTAGATGGACATCCCCCGAGGGCTCCTGAACTGCGAGAGGGTACAGACTGGGCTGAGGGACCCCCTCCTGAGTGCACAAATTTCATGCACCGGGCCTCTGGTATAATATATAAAAGCCACAAAAATGTAGGTACAATGCATCATGTTTGGTATGCATTTCAATGTGTTTTAGGTTTTGTTCACACTTGGGAAACTCCAAAAATATATTTATGTGGGTTTATAAGAACATTCAACATATTTATGGTCTCAAAACCTATGATGTCCTATTGTTAACAAAATGTCATTCATAATCTTCCCTACTAAGGAGTTTTTCTCACCTGCTAAACAAGTGTGCCAGACAGTAATTTAACTCTATCAACAGCTTCAACCTGTTACTATATCTCTACAATAATGGAACTTTTCCATCATCTTCCTGTGTAGATCTTGAAGGAAAAAAAAAAGAGAAAAAAAAAGAAAGACAAACATAAGATCATGTAAATGTCTAGTTTCACTGTCATGTGAGATAATGTGCAAAAGATTTAGGGTATTTTAAGGGAAATAGCCTTTTCAGTATTGCAACATGACTTCATTTAAATTCCTCTTGGGGCTTTTTACTAATAAACTACTATTGGCTCCAATTAAAATAAAATCTTTCAGAAGCAAGTGTTTAATTTCTGAAGTACAGCTGGAAACTACTACTTTTTCACTCTAATAGCATAAACGAACTATTCAAAGCTGACATGTAATGCATTTTTCTTTTCATTAGCTTAAACATCAGCTGTGCGTGTGCTTTGCTCATACAATGGACATATGGTTGCTTGGATCAGACTGAGAGTGAATCTTTTTAATGATTTCAAGAAAATACAAAATGAATATACTTAAGTAGCCAGTTAAAGGTTATTTAGAAGGAATAACAAGTTGACATACCTGTCTTGAATCTGTAATCTACCTAAGCTTCAAGAAATTAAGGTTCACACATAATATACCATCATGTTATACAATTATTGATCAAAAGGGGAATACCTTAAATAAATGCACTCTAATCAATTGAAAGGCCAGGTAGGATAAACTCTTCTGAACTTTGGTGCATAGATTTATTAAACAAAGGTAGCCTTTTGGTCAATACATTGTCAGCTTTGAGTTTAAATTACCTTGTCTATTTTATACTGCCAAATTCGAAAGCAGTTCTGAACTCTTTAGAGGTCTATATGTTCTCTATGGATTTTATTCAGAATATAAAGAATAGCTAATATTCTTTGTTCACCCATCCTGGCACTGTGCTATCCATTTTATATGCATTGACTCATTTAATCTACACCACAGCCCCGTGAGGCAGGAAATATTACTATCCTGATCGTGCAGATGAGAAAACTGAGGTCACACAGCTAATAATTGGTGGGCTGGTAATTGGACTCCAGAGACTACTCTCTGAACCCCAAAACTACACTATTTCCTTTTGATAAGTAAAATCCTTGGGGCTTCTAGATTTCAGTGTACCTGGGAGAATTAATGTTAATTGTCTGGCAATGAGGTTAACAAACCTATAGAGCCAACTTCACCTAGGCCTTGAGCCTTCTCTGGTAGTTATCCAAGAATAATTTATCCCTTCTTAATCCTTGCTGTCTTATTATGTATGTATGTATGTATGTTAACTCTCATCTGAGGATATTTTTCCATCGATTATATGAGAGAGTGGAAGGGAGGGGGAGAGACACAGAGAGAAACGATGTGAAAGAGACACTTTGATTAGTTGCCTTCCACATGTGTGTGACCAGGGAAGGGCCAGCGCATCCAACATATTTAAGGTCTCAAAACCTGGTTTGGCCTGCAACCAAGGTATTTCCTTGACCAGAATCAAACCCAGGATGCTTCAGTCCAAGGGCCGACCCTTTATCCACTGAGCCAAACCAGCCAGGGTGATCCTTGCTATACTTATTGCATGCATTTGAAAGCAGGTGAGGGTACAAGTTATTTTTTTTTAATGATTTCATTCTCTTTTATAGTTCAAAAGAGAATTCAGACTCCTTATAGGTCATCATCTCCAATGATGTCACCAAATTATGTTTTCTATCATGAATGAAACGCATTTTAAAACAGTATTTCTAAAGCTATCATTTTTGAAAACTACCAATGAGAGAGGAATTTGGCATTGGAAGTTAACATAATGCTGTCACCATTGCTTTACATTATGCTGAGTAAGTGGGAAGAAAGCTATTATAGCAGAAAGTGCAATTAAGCTTATGCATGACGTCGACAAAGGCCCCATACCCTTCTTTAAAAAAAAATCATTGAACAAATTTTTATTACCATGGTCCATATTTTTTTAATATTTAGAAAGCCAATATTATGCATGAAAAATGTGTTTGATCCTAACAGATTATATATCATAAAATGCAATGACTAGTGAGAATTTGCCATTTTTCAAGTGGAAAAATTAACGATCTGAGTGAATGAGTGCTTTATGAAACATTACACAGTTATTAAGAGCAGTACTTCTAACTGTACTATTCAACTCTACAGCTACCTTTCAAGCCTTTGGAATATCGCCAAAAAATAATTAAAAAATAAGATACCAAAAAGAAAAGACTTCCATAGAACTAAAATTTAAAATCTTGATGTTTATAAATAATGATAATATTAATAAATACTATTCATGGACTTAAATATTTTAGAAAGTAGTCTATGACTACATAACATTATACAAGGATGTAGCTCTCTTTCTCACTTTTCCTCACATTGTTTTCAAATTTTTTTTTGTCACAATAATTGGTTAAATGATTATGGCTATGCAAGCATTTAAAATTGGACATGGACTAAGTGATGTTCTGTGACAGCGGTTCTCAACCTTTGGGTCGCGACCCCTTTGACGGTCGAACGACCCTTTCATAGGAATCGCCTAAGACCATCCTGCATATCAGATATTTACATTACGATTCATAACAGTAGCAA